GCATTCCACAAACCAGCTTGCTTCACGTATATAATACTAACCAGCAACTGCAGCTGCAATCTCTTGGTCCTCCTAATGCTACTGATCAGACGTCGTCCCATCTTTTTGGCGTACCAAATGGAGGCCAGCATGTCACTTGCTAGTCCTGAGGTGAAACCCGGCACAGCGTGACATCCAGGGTTTGACAGACCGACCGATACAGCAAGGTACTCCTCAGCTCTGATCCGAACTCCCCACCCACCACCAGAAGCTGCGTCAAGGTGATCCCATGATGCAGTGGACGCAGGATAGGACAGTGAGAAAGGGGGCTAGGAGCTTGTCCCCACTTGAGCCCGCCAAAAAGCTTTACGGGTGAACACGTGGACCTGCATGCTGGCCGTAAGGCGACGGCTGGTCTAAACTGTGGTCTGTTAGATTCTCCAAGAATGACACAGCTCATTTTTCAGTAATGCTGTCTCTCTCAGCTACAGCTACTGCAGCTTTTATGAGGTCACATCCTTCAACTCTCAGGCAAAACGCCCAATCTCTGATTAGACCACAATGACATGGCCAAAGAGGTTATTCGGACGCCAGTTCCGCAGAAGTAAAAAAAAAAAGCACCAAGTAACGTTCATGTTTCATGAACGTGATCTGCACTAAATATGGGGATGATAAATTCACCCAAAAGTTAAAATCGCATCATTTACTCACCCTCAAGATATTCCAAACCCGTATGACTGACTTTCTTCTTCTTACACAAAAGAACATATTTTGAAGAATACTGAGTTACAAAGTTGTGAGATATAAAGTTATAAGACTGTGAGATTATAATTTATATTGCTAACAAATAAAGCTCCAATTACAATCAATTAAAATCCACAAGGACTGAGACAAAATCTGTATAGCTCAGCAATAAATGCTTCCTCCTCCGTTCAAAAGAGACAGCTTGCTCTGACATCCTAAAAGTTGTCACCATTAAGAAATGAACACAAAACCAGCCTCACTTAAACAGCAGAGATGCATATTCAAAAAGAATTGTGAAAAAAAAAAAATGACAAAATTTAACACTCAAGGAACATACCAAGTGGAGTCTGAGCTTACTGGCAGCCATTTGGTCTCCTTGTGATCATCGGTCATGCGTCACTTTATTTAGTAACACATGGGATTTGAAGTCTTCATGCTCACAGTACACTTAGTGCCCCATCACAGATCCACTTGTCCCCACAGAGGCTACAGGCTAAAACAAATTACTGATTGTACCTGAGTCAGAAAAGCACCTTATTAGAATTCAAGGCAGAAACGCTTCCACCTCCAGCTCCCATTACTTTATATGGCTGGACAAAACTAATGCACTTACTGCCCTGCAGCTCCAGCCACATTACTGCATAACTCTCCACTGCTGATGACAAGCACTAGAGACATGAACACAATACAAACATGGAAAAGCCCAAGACCAGAGAATATGAAAAGATTAGCTCACCCAAATATAAAAACGCAGTCATCATCTCCTTAACCATGAGGTCTTGCTTGCCAAACATGCCTATGCTACAGTATTACTTCACGTGGCCCTTTCCATACAATGACAGGATCACTGAGTGTAATCAACACGCATGATGAGGTTACAAATTCAATAGCCTTTAATAAACAAATAGGGAGACCACCTAGTTGTTTCTCTGTTGCAGGACAGTAGATGTGATTTTGCAGGACACGTGTGAAGGGATACATTTACTACTCTGTAAATATTGATTTACATCTGTTGGAAAGCCCATGTGTCATTACATTGAATTGGTATTAAATAACCAATAAGCTTTGCATATCGTGATCGGCTCTCAATTTCTCAAAGTTCGAGAGATGTCATGTAATATACACACAAGTAAGGGGTTCTCAAACTCGGTCCTGAAGGGCCACTGTCCTGCAGAGTTTAGCTCCAACCCTGATCAAACACACCTACCTGTGAGTTTCTAGCATAGATATCTATATAAAGGCTAGATATCTCGTCCACGCTGCAGGCCAATGGAGGTCGACGTCTGCACCTGGCGGCCATCTTGTCACAGGTAGCTCGCTCACTCGTAACATTGTGTTAATGATACATGCACTATTTAAATAATCATAACTTGCTCAATTTTCTACAGATTTTCAAACGGTTTGGTTTGTTATAATCGTCAGAGATGTAGTTATGACACAGCATACTTATGAATAATAAGTGTATAAATAAATAATCATCCAGATAATTATAGCCACGTTAATAACGTTTGTAAATCCGTCAAGATTTCAACGAGATAAGAGTATTTGTGTTCTTGCTGACCACTCATCTTACATCAGCTTGCCTATGACAAGATGGCCGCCGGTGATGACGATAGAAACTCCGCCTTAAGACATCTAGCCTTTATATAGATATCTATGGTTTCTAGTGATCCTGAAAACCTTGATTAGCTTGCTCAGGTGTGTTTGATCAGGGTTGGAGCTAAACTCTGCAGGACAGTGGCCCTCCAGGACCGAGTTTGAGAACCCCTGAACTAAGTAACAAGCTTAAAGGTTAAAAAAAAAAAAAAAAAAAAAATTTTATACCAAAATACATTTTAAGTAGCGACTAGTTTATTCCACTCTATGCAACCAATAAATGTGTTTTACCAGATTTAGGGCATCTTGAACTTCAACACTGATTCTTTTACTCCTTCAGTCGACATCAGCGGAAAAATCCCTCTCTATGACTTGGTTGGTTGGTTAGTTATTTTCTCGGTCTAGAACATGATAGCTGGACAAATGGATTTTATATGACATTTTTAGTGTTGTGTTTCTTATTATTGTATTGTAATTTCAAAAAAGGAGAAAAAAATTATTATTTTTTTACCTTTTCACACTCAAGGTAAAAAAAGAGAACCGACAACTAGGACTGAGAACTAAAGACTATATATACATAGGGAACAAATGATAAGGCTAAACGGGACACGTCACGTGCAAATCACAATTAACCATGGAATCAAACACAAACAGAAACAGAAACCAAAGAAACTGAAACTAAACAGAGCAGGGAAAGAGGAACTAAATGACCAACAAACAGAACTGTTACACTGAGGTGAATGAAAAATATAAATTTTGGGCTGAGCTAATCCTTTAAGAACAAATGGATTAGTTTCCAACATCAATGATAATAATAATAATGAGGAATGATTCTTGAGCATCAAATCAGCATTTTAATAGGATTTCAGAAGGATCAGGTGTAATGGCTGCTGAAAATTCAGTTAATTGCTATTAGAGGAATAAAATTACATTATAAAATGTATTAAAATAGAACACGGTGCTACAAAATTCTTATATTTCACAATATAATGGTTCTTACTGTATTTTGATCAAATAAATGAATCTTGATGAACATAAGAGATTTAATTGAGATACATCAACAAAAAAAATATTTGTATCTTATCTTACCATCCCCAAATTTGAGAATATCAAAATAATACCCCAAAAGACCAAGTTAAAAAACGATGAAAATTTTAAAATAGACTATAAATTAAAAAAAGAGAGAAATAGTAATCTTCTATTCTTAATGTGTAACGTCATGGAAAGTCCAAAACAAGAACTGTCAGGCAAATGTGAAAAGCCACATTTTTTAAACAAAATAACGTTGCTATTAACTAACTGTAATTGAGATATATGCAGACCCTCTGTACCATGTTTGCATAGAAGTCTGTAGGCCTGTTAATATAAAGACGATGCGTGTCCTGTTTCACAACCTCCCCCAGAAAAAACATTTGTTGCCACAAATCTTATAAGCACCAAATGCCCACTTTAAAAAGGCGGTCTGACATTCTGTTCAGTGAACATGAAACAACTCTCTGAATGCATCAACAGAGAGAGGCTAGAGTTACACATCACTTCTTGAAAAGACAACAAATGCATATACACAGAAGATAATCTAAAGCTTTCTACAAAATACATACTGATTTCATTAGTTGAATGATAACCATATCTCTTAAGCTTTACATCATATTTGGACACCCCAAAGAGACCAAATGGTCTGACCTATACGGATGAACATGGTTTGTTAGAGTTGCTGTGCAATAACTTAAATTAAACATTAATTATTGAATCCCCTTTGACCCAAACACTGTCAAATGCCAATTTTATCTGAGAAAGTTGCCCTTTCAAACGCGCCAACAACAACAGATATGGTAATTTCTTTCCAAATAACATAAAGGGTTACCCTGGAAACAAACATTTCACACTGATATACAATTCGTAAAAAGAGTTCATCTTCAAATCTCTTTTTAGCTAAACTTTTTTTTTGCCCCAAATATGTCAAAATTATTACTAATATTAGTTACTAATGATTAAAATAACATATTTTCCAAAACAAACAACAACAAAAAAGAAGAAATTAAAGATTTCATAAGAATTGAATCCACAGAACACTTTTGATATTAAAGTCAATGTGAATTGGTGTTCATTGTTCACAACACCTTTTACTTTGGTAATGTGATGCATTTTTAATAAGTAAAACAGTAATAGATGCTGGCTGTAACATAACAGCATGAAGTCAGACCTAAAACAAATTCTTAAAAACCTTAAAACAAATCCTTAAAATTGGTTAAAACAATCCAGTAGCCTATAGCGTAACTGACGTCAGAGGAAAATTTTGATTATATTTTAATATTAAAACTTACAAAGAAAAACTGTTTTTCCTTTAAAATAATACACAATAATAATATGAAATAACAGGAAACTTAAGTAAATATGGAATTGACAGCATTTTGACTGCATGTTTACTGTATAAAATAAATAAAATACAATAAATAGTTAAATTATATCATTCAAACTACATTTCCAATATACATCCATGACATCTTACACTGTGACATGTCTGCCACCTTGTGTTTACAAAGCAAACTGCAACAGCTTTCTCTTAATTATAAGCTTGTGCCATCCGTTTTATCATTTTTGCATGGAGAGTTGTGCTTTGAATAACATGAATAATAATGGAAAATGTGTGAATGAAGACAATAAAAATCACACTGGGTTACCTGCATCAGTGTGTCACTTTGCGAGTATAGTGTGGCAAAGGCGGGGGCTGGAACCTCCTCACCCCCTAATGTTGACGACCCATCAAAAACGCACTCCAGAGACTCTACCTGAAGAAGGGCACGCAGTTTCTCAGATGATAAATACGACTACCCAACAGTCGCACATACATATACATATATACATACATATTTATTTATTTATTTATCAAACAATGTGCCCACAAGCAGCTTTAGAAATGACAGGGAAGTGTGTAAAAGCATTGTGCCCTTCATTGAAACCCATGCAGCTACTGACACAACACAACTTCACTAAGCAACAAACAGCTGGCAAATGCAAAAACAAGTGAGGAATAAAACAATGTGCGTATGAGGCGAGTTCATAACTGAACCCTAATCACCCATAATGTCATGATGATGATCGCTCATAACGCAGCACGCATAGCACTTTTCTTAAAACATGGATCATCATGATGAACCGCAGACACTCATACAACGCACACACTTGAAGTTGTGTGGCAGAAGACAGTGAGAAAATGATGTCATCTCCATTACATGGAGCCATTGTGAGAATGATTGGACAGATGAGTCACAATGTCATCAGCTGTGTGTATCATTCTCGATAAGTCATGAAATAAGTAACGTGTTTGTGTGTGTGCACATATATAGTATATATGTATAAATATAATGTGTGTGTGTGTGTGTGTGTGTGTGTGTGTGTGTGTGTGTATACAGTATATATAGAGATAGATAGATATAGACCATTTTGCAAGATGTAAACATCACTGGTCCAGAAACACTTCCTGTTTCAGTTTGTAACTGTTTTCTTTATTTCACATGTAAAGAAAACATCTTAAAGAGGTTTGTTTAACTTTTTGATTCAGTTTTATATGTTCTGTTGGTTGTATTTTATCCCTGCTTTTATGTAGTGTTAAAAAAATGAAACAGGAAGTGCTTCTGGACCAGTGTTGTTTACATCTTGCAAAATGGTCTATATATATATATATATATATATACACTCACCGGCCACTTTATTAGGTACACCTGTCCAACTGCTCGTTAACACTTAATTTCTAAGCAGCCAACATGGCGGCAACTCAGTGCATTTAGGCATGTAGACATGGTCAAGACAATCTCCTGCAGTTCAAACCGAGCATCAGTATGGGGAAGAAAGGTGATTTGAGTGACTTTGAACGTGGCATGTTTGTTGGTGCCAGAAGGGCTGGTCTGAGTATTTCAGAAACTGCTAATCTACTGGGATTTTCACGCACAACCATCTCTAGGGTTTACAGAGAATGGTCCGAAAAAGAAAAAACATCCAGTGAGCGGCAGTTCTGTGGGCGGAAATGCCTTGTTGATGCCAGAGGTCAGAGGAGAATGGCCAGACTGGTTCGAGCTGATAGAAGGGCAACAGTGACTCAAATAACCACCCGTTACAACCAAGGTGGGCAGAAGAGCATCTCTGAACGCACAGTACGTCGAACTTTGAGGCAGATGGGCTACAGCAGCAGAAGACCACACCGGGTGACACTCCTTTCAGCTAAGAACAGGAAACTGAGGCTACAATTTGGCCAAGCTCATCGAAATTGGACAATAGAAGATTGGAAAAACGTTGCCTGGTCTGATGAGTCTCGATTTCTGCTGCGACATTCGGATGGTAGGGTCAGAATTTGGCGTCTACAACATGAAAGCATGGATCCATCCTGCCTTGCATCAACAGTTCAGGCTGGTGGTGGTGGTGTCATGGTGTGGGGAATATTTTCTTGGCACTCTTTGGGCCCCTTGGTACCAATTGAGCATCGTTGCAACGCCACAGCCTACCTGAGTATTGTTGCTGACCATGTCCATCCCTTTATGACCACAATGTACCCAACTTCTGATGGCTACTTTCAGCAGGATACTGCGCCATGTCATAAAGCTGGAATCATCTCAGACTGGTTTCTTGAACATGACAATGAGTTCGCTGTACTCAAATGGCCTCCACAGTCACCAGATCTCAATCCAATAGAGCATCTTTGGGATGTGGTGGAACGGGAGATTCGCATCATGGATGTGCAGCCGACAAATCTGCGGCAACTGTGTGATGCCATCATGTCAATATGGACCAAACTCCCTGAGGAATGCTTCCAGCACCTTGTTGAATCTATGCCACGAAAAATTGAGGCAGTTCTGAAGGCAAAAGGGGGTCCAACCCGTTACTAGCATGGGGTACCTAATAAAGTGGCCGGTGAGTGTATATATATATGAGACTTGGGTCTCAATGAGACTTGGTTCTGACGTTAGCCAGGCTAACACAAATCGATAACGTGACCCACTTCTCTTAGTGCTGGATGTTACCAAACAAACTATTTATTCATTCGGACAAAAATATCACAGCAGAGCTTTTATCGTCGTAGGCCTCACAAGTACGCAGGCCAGTCACAGGACGCTACAACTGTGGGACATGGAGAGCCACAAGATGTCATCCCCATCTGTGCCGACAGTTCCAGCCAAGCATGCAGGGAATCATAACAATCCCATAATCAGGCAAAAAAGCTAAAATCTCAAACATCTACGACTTGAAGTCAGTCTGGCGTTAAACAAGTGCATCTGCTTTAAGAGGCAAACTCAGGCTGTGTGCCACTGAAGCAAAGGTTAAACAATCGGATATTCTGGATGGGAGCGTCCCTGTATCTTCTTGACTGCCAGAAGAGCGGTCTGTAAATAGAAACCTGACCAGGGGCATGTGGTTCATGTGTCGTGTGCTGCAGAGAGCGTGCAGTCACGTCATCATCAGGGCAGAGAGTGCGTGAAGCAAGATCTGATTCATGGAAAATATGATCAACACTGACAAAAAATTACTCAATATATTGTGTTAAAGCAAAGGCAAAGAAATGACACTGCTTAAACACAATTTACATTTAAAAGTCCTAAAGAGACACTAACCCAGCTAAAAATGTGACACTGCTGTTTTAAATGGGATCCAGAAACAAGTACTATGATATACTTGATATATATATGGAAACAATATACTGTACCACACAACATCACCAAAACAGAATAACAAAAATGTGTAGGCTATCTTTTTATAGAAGTATGAAATAATTGTAAGCAGTTTCTTTAATGTTTATTATAGCTCCCTATATCTGGCTGTGTAAATTAAGATGGAATAGAATACAGTATATTAACATTGAAATAACACTGCAAATGATCCTTACATTACAAACAACAGCCAGAAGGTGGCGTAAGATTACTACAGTCACTAATAGGGCCAGAAACTAAAAGATTATCACATTACCACCCTAATTCAAAGGAAATTGTTTTGAATCCTCATCTTAAATCACAACTAGAATTGCCATTGAACTATCAAATGCTGTTGCGGTCAGCGAGGCGGCAACATGATTCATTCCGAAAAGGAAAACAAACAAATTGCATAGGTGCATATTTGTAGCACGATGCACGCGTTCTCAGAGCTCATATTGTTGTGAGGGAGAGTTAAGAAGAGAGTGTGCGCATCAGCTGGGCCAGCAGCCAGAAAGCACCATCAGCCTAGAGCACATGGACTGATTTAGGAGGAATGCAGGCTCATAGTGATGACAGAGCGAGTGTGTTTTTGTGTGTGTACGAGGACTGAGCAGCTGAGGCTGATAGGAGGTGACAGGCAGGGCTTGTCAGGCGCTGCTCTGTCGGCATGCAGGAGCTCCACTGATCTGAGCCCAGCACAGCTCCTCCTCAAACATCAGCACTGCTCAGTGTGCTGGGAATTGTGAGTTTTCAAACTGCCACATTCATTTTGAATGTCTGCACCACATGGTTAAATGATGGAGAATAATAATAGTTCATTGGGAGAACCATTCAAGACGTCATTGAGTGAGAACACTAGGTCATTTATACAGTAGGCTGAAAGCTCGTTATTTAGGTCGTTAATAACAGTGTCCTTAACCCCACGTGAAGAGACAAGCGTCAAACTATTTGTCTATCCAGACAAGGGGGAAGTAGCTTAGCTGGTCTTAGCTGATTTAAAAGAGCTGTATGTAACTTTTTCACTCTACTAAAGCATAAAAATACCATAATATGTTTGCATATATTGAGGAGACATGCTAAGTTCGCATACTCGTTCTCTGAAAAACACTTCTACAGCCAGTTATTTTACTTTGAAACGTGCATTTCCAGGCTGGAATGTTTGTTATTGTTTTGGTCTGTGAAACTGCACGTTGCCCATATTCATTGTCCATAGCGCTCGTTCCTGTTGCGTGTGCTCAAACTGGCAACCCTTGTGAGCGCCATGCAGTCTGAGGAACAGGTGGCGGGAGAAACAACGATATCCAATATTTTGACTTTGAACACTTGTTTTCATTCTTACATACTGCACTTTTAAGTGGGTCAAGCTAGTGTTCAGTTGATTTAACTGCTCTGCAAGTTGGGTTCCCAGCTAGCCCAAAACCCATTAAAAACAAAAGACCAGACCAGTTGAAACCAGCAATCTAGCTTAGGCTAAAAACTAAGATTGGTAAACAAAGAAATAGGGGAGAGCGGGGCACAACGTAACGCTTTTTGACTTTTTTCAATTTGTGTAAATCTACTTAGGGTTTAGAGTATTTTCCTCATCACATTCATTTCCCACATGTCTAGTACAATTATGTGGTTTTGTTTTATTAATACAGTGTATACTTTTTTTCTTGATTTATCCCGAAAGAATGGAAGTGAACTGTGACAACATGCCCCATAGGTGGGGTACATTGTAACATGTGAGGGGCACATTGTCACATCACCATAACACAGCTTAAAATGCTATCTGATTATGATCTAATAAGTCAAACCAAAATATTTTCTTAATAAAATACAATTATTAACTTTTTCATATAAAAAAATAATGGCATTTTTTAATTGACAACAAACACACCGGAAAACACAGCTATACAGCATAGTTCAAAACAAAATAATAATTAATCATTTCTGAACATTGACTCTTAGTCTTTATTTACATGTTTCTCTAGTTTTCTCAATAGAATTCATAAAAAAAGAATAGAGTATAACAGCATATTTCTAATAGGGGCATATTGTAACGCAGTGTTACAACATGCCCCAACTGCAGTTTAAACGCTGCTAGTGTCTTCTGCTAGTTAGCGAAGCATTAAAGAATCATATCAACTGTTAAACAACAGATTGGAGATTAAAATGTCAGATTTGTCTAATTTTAAATAAACACAAAAATTAGAGATGAAAAATTGACTTGAGTAAGAAATATACTTTTGCTATGGTTAAATACATTTTCAGTGATATCTTACAAAGATTTTGGAATTTTGGCAACTAGTAAATACACCAAGTTGTCATGCTAGCATGTGTGGAAGTATTTTAAACAAGTGTGTTACAACTAGCCCCGCGTTACGTTGTGCCCCGTGCTCCCCTAATACTGTGTGTCCGCACACTAAAATTACAGCTCCAAAAATGTATAACAGTGCAATGATTCAACCAAGGTCTTCATTCATCAAGCAAAATTTTACACACATTGTGCCTGATGAAGAATATCTGATGGTCAAAATGTTGCACTGTATATAAATACATTTTAGTAGCTGTAATTTCAGTGTGCAGACTTTTTGGTTTGTTTGTTTCTATCTTGTTACATTTTTGTCCTGCACCTGAAGCCAATTTGGGTTTTAGATGTGTACCCCCTTTTTTATTAATAATGATCTCTTATTCCAACTACAAAACTGAAACTGAAATATTCATCCTAGATTTGATGTTCAACATTTTGACAGATGAACTCAATTCTTCCTAATAGGTCTGCAAAAAGAAATTGATAAAAATCGATAATCAATACTGAAAATAATCTTCAATGCACAGGAAGCATTTCACTCACATCACTATAAAAAATATCATTTGAGTTATCTTGCCCTTTCAGGTGCTTTTACAGATGTGTGTTGCTTCTGTGTTTCTGTTAAAAGTAGAAAGGCATGATTATATCCATTTTGCACAAAGGCTTATCCTGACATTAGCTCGTTTCCTGTTTTCATAGCCTTCAAATTGCACAGTGCTTAAAGGACAACATTGGGCAGGGTGTGGATTTTTTTTTAAAGAAAAAATTCTAATTAAATATTTTATATTACTTATCAATCATTAATTAACAATTAGTAATTATTGGAGATTTTTTTATTCAATTAATCAATTAATCTAAGAAATAAACCAACAGATGCCTTGATTATCAAAATAATTCTAAGTTGCAGTCCTAGTGTCTGATTTAGTGTGTGAATGTTATTTATTTGGTGTTTGTTTGTTTGTTTGTAAACATGAAACTGATGGAGATTCTATCACAAGCAACACTGAAGCATGTTTACAAAGTGCACAGAGACAGAATAGATGCCATGCAGCACAGAAATGTGTCATGGAGCCATTGGAATTCTGGGAGATTTTACCTTCATAGGAGAGATGTGCGAATGAGAAACATAGCCGTGTACATTCTCAATCTGGGAAATGTTCTTCTCCGACACCTGGACCAGCTCAGGAGGACGCACATCCCCTGGTAGGTGCGGAGAGTTGTGTTCTGGAGGAGACGTGGTATCCTCATCCTGATATCTATATTTCTGAGAAAGAGAAAAAGAGAGAGAGAATGTGTACAGTTATACCAGCGTAATATTAAATTAATTTATTGCAGCTACACTGACCCAAAAATGAACTTTATACGTGATTTGATGTTCAACCGACGGGAGGTAAAGATTAATGTTCAAACCACAGTTAATGAGAAAATGTTGAATAAAGGATTGTGTTTTATTGATTACATTGCCAAAAGAAAAAAAAAGTAAAAAAAAAAAAACATTGCAAGCAATTGAATTCCCTGTAAATGAAATTACTTATATTTTTCTCAAACCAATCTGCTAACAGTATTTTTTTTGATTGTTTTATATATGTGCAGTTAACATAAATATACATTTAATTAGAAGTAAAGGTGACATATTTTTATTCTCACCTCACTTGCAATTATAATTATTTATTTATTTCAAAATGATTTAAAGGTACAATATGTAAGAATTTTGTAATAAAATATCCAAAAATCAGTTGCACATCACCAAAGACGTTTAATTTCAGAGAAATCAAATTCCAATTTTAAAAATAAACTTGTCACCTGTCAATGACATAATATCCATTTTATCCCTAGTTTCCGTTTATACTGCCATTGTAACCATGGCGACAGACGTGGACAATTGCGTTACATCTAGCGGCACGTGTGCTGTTGTTGTCATTTCATTCAATCATTATGGGCCATGGCAAGCAGACTTAGGGACAAAAGGAGAACTAAAACAAGAATCAATATCAGACTGCCGCTTTCGAGATGCCAAGAGCTCCACGTCCGTGACTAACTTCGACTTGACAGCTCTTGCATGTACTTTCTTAGACAGGTGAGCAAATGTACATAAAACTAATCAATGTTATATAGCTCAACATGATGACATGTTCTAAGTTGATCTAGATCACTGGAATTCAGCACTTGCAGGTAGTTCGATGGAATGTCCTTATTTCTTTATATCCGCGGGACTCGCGTGTGGCGCTGATATTTGTCTCTCATTAGCAATAATGCCCTACTTTCTCCCACAGTCATGTTAAAAACATCAATGTATTCCTCATCCATAAACATTATTAGATTCATCAGCTTAACGACAAGGTCCATAATTCTGCTGGAATATTGAGTCATCAACCTACGCCTTTATTATTGTAAGAGGTTAGTGAAAAAAATTACATATTGTAACTTTAACATAGGTTAAATGAGACTTGGACATGCAAATTCAAACTGCAGTGTAACATACTTGATCTGAAAAAAAAAAAAAAAAAAAAAACAGGTTCACAGTTCTGTAGCTACCAGTGCCGTACTTAAGCTTCATGTCTACTTCAACTGTATTTCTCTCTAGATCTAGAACTCCTGAGATGGGAAACATATTTTTTTAAATAAGCCAGGCACCCCCAGAACCTACCCACCACACAGTCATCTCAATCGACCCCAATCTGCCATGACTATATGTGAAACACTGTTCTGATACTTTCTTAACGGGAATCGCATATTATTCAGCAGTGCCTTTTATCCATAGACATCCATCTTGTCCTGATACATACCCGCCTCTATGGCATTATTGGAATGTGGGTTAGGAAATGCAAACACAAGTCTAGAGGGAAGAAAAAGAGGGCAGTTTTTTAAGAGAAGTAGATGCCCAAAAAGTGGGACAAGCTCCAAGTTGGGGTCTTGCTTATAGTAACATCACTGCATCCGAGCAGCATGGGGGAAGACTGAGTGGATTTGCCCATATGCAGATATTCAAGGTGGAATCCCTTGCCCTATTTCAACACTGAAAAATGGTCCTGAAAAACTTAACTAAAATTAGACCACTGTATAAAAAAAAATTGCCAGCTGCTTGTGATGCAATGGTCTATTTAGTGCTTGGACCAATGAAAAACTACTATTGTCTCAACCAGGGGTTGCATTTCCCATACAACACTACCATAGTATGATGCATCTTTGAAGAAATCAACTAGCTAATCACTGTTTGCCAAAATCATATTGTTGCAAATTGGTCGTTCAATGACGTTGGTTAATTATGTCACGCAGGTGGTGGAGTATTAACTCATTTTAATGAATCTGTTTAAAAGCGAATTAATGCTAGATATTTTGCTACAAAATACAGACCTGGCATCCGAGGACTATTTATAATTTTTCTCAGATATTTTGCTTTATTTCCAGATTCAATCAAAGGCTCTTTCTTACTAGAGCATGTTCCCACATGCACACTCTTTAAAAATAACGCTTTGAATCTCTTGAAAAACTAAAAGATGTAAATTGCATTTGTATGTGAAGAGTTCAGATGCAAAAGCCTCTAAATGCCATTTGAAATTTTCTTCTTTAATGATGATTTTTATCAAACTTGTATATTTAATTTCAGTAATTTCACTTAAATAACAATTAATAGGTAATTACCATTGCCATTTAAGTGAAATCACTGAACTTAAATATACAAGCTTGATAAAAATGATCATTCTAGAAGAAAATTTCAAATGGCACTTAGAGGCTTTTGCATCTGAACTCTTCATGTATTCTAAATAAAATTGTACTGAAAAATTGTATTTATTGAGTCCACGTCACGCTTCTAACCACGGGTCGAGAGCTGTAGTTGCTGTTTGCGAATGTTCGTTGGAACCATGTTTTCGGGAAACCACCGACTCATTGAACTACGCTAAAAAACGACGGAACTTTCGACCATAGTTGGCTAATGATGCTTTTGTGAAACGCACCCCAGCCTAGCAGAAAATAAAAATGTATTGTTGAGCCCTGGCGTATTTTAGACAGAAGAGAAGTGTGCTACTACTACTGACACTTTGGTTAAGGGGACCACAGAAACCCTGTGCACAGAATTCTTTGCCTTGTTCCGAACAACTCAAAGTTCAAACTCAACTCTCAGCGGCCCACAAAGCAAGTGAAATTGAAAGGTGAGTTTGAACTCAGAGCCACTGCTGGGAGAGAAAGGGACAGACGGGGAGTAGTTCTTGAGATGTCATTACACCGCTGAGTGCTTCAGTGACTCGGCTTCAGGCTCACTGTGGGGCCAGCTTGCCTGGATAATGAGCTGCTCGACTGGCTCAATGCTCTCTCACTCTGCGCTGGTCCGTCCGAGCCGAGCTAACGTCAGTAAAGCCGAATAAATGCAGTGAGATCCCTCACAAAGCTATTCAACCAAGGAGGACAGCTCTCGGAAAACTTGACAGGAGTGAAAAAACGAATGCTAGACAGGCTTTACACAGACGACGTCCTCTGCAATACAATGTCACTGCCTAGAGCAGGGTGAACCTTGAGAGGTGCGCGGCTGTTAGAAATGCAGTTTGATGGATGTTGTGTAGGATCTCAAGGAGTGGAAGAGCCCCGCGCCTGCTCCTTGTGCCCCTTCTGTCTCGGGTCTAGCCGTGCCGCTGTAAAGCTGTCAGCTCTTGTCTGTTTATCGGGCAGAAAACAGAGGCCCAGAGCTCAGCAAACACAGCACTTTATTATAGACACTTCACCTTGAATACCTTCGGGAGAGCTCTGTAACACGGCTGCACATCCCAGAGCTGCCAAAACAACTGCGTTCACTCCACAATACTAAGCATTATTTGCATGATAAATGCGTAATCAGCATAATTTGGGATTATGAAGTCTGGCACATTCACCTCGGCTGAACCACACAGAGCAGGTGTTTACTGAAAGCCCAAATGTGTGGCCCTTCAAACAAAAGACAAACATTCTATTGGACAATAAAAGTCTGAACATTAATTAAAAGAATTCTATGATTTTACCACCCCAAACAAGTTATTTATAAACCGCTATATTTGCCAAGAAACACGGGCCCATTTGAGAGCCTTTGACCTAATTATACTACCAATAAGGATTTGCATTGTAGGGACCAGCTTTTCAGGCCAGAGCATTTTTGTAAAAAAAAAAAAAAAAATAAAATAAAATAAAAAATTCAGAACAGGACATTTTTTGCTCCAAACACACAATTATATTTTGCCAATCTCAATTCCAGACTTGCACACAAATTGCATTGCAATAATTTCCCAAAATATAATTTTTGTGAAAATATTACAAACTCTGTAAACAGGATGTTAACACAGGCCAGAGATGAGACGTGCTGAAGACGGGCGCAAAGAAAAGAACACAGACACACCAGCAGAGCAAAGACTGAATATTGAATTGATGGTGGGGGTTTATATGAATGCATCTCTGAAGGAAACTGACTGTCAAAAGAAAAGCATTTTCTTTTCCCCTTACCTCCGTATGAAGTAGTGTTTATTACAGCGCTGCACTCAGAAAAAAAGGTACAAAAGCTGTCACTGGGGCGGTACCTTTTCAAAAGGTACACTTTTGTACCTAAGGTACATATTTGTACCATTAAGGTACCACTATGCACCCTTTAGGTACAAAAGTGTACCTTTTGAAAAGGTACCGCCCCAGTGACAGCTTTTGTACCTTTTTTCTGAGAGTGTGCTTACCGCGGTACCCAAAGAAATTGCTGATGTTCCATAAGCGCCACCTACTGTCAGAGAGCGAATTTGCATTTTCATTCAGTCCATCTGCTGTTTTTGTTTTGTGCAAGTGGCTTATGTTACATAATTTCCCAAATCTTAAATCAGACCTTTCAGTTATTCAAGTATATCAATCAAATTGTCAAATTTATACAATGACGGACAGATGATCAACAGTAACGTAATCATCCACGTCACCAAAGAGTGCTTGGGTTGAATTCATTTACAACAATTGTCGAGTTCTAATCCCAAATGGAGAACTTCGTATATGCTTCGTATACTCTTTCTCTCAAAAATGATGATCGTGTTAGTAAGTACTCAGTCAGTGTCTCCTTAAATTCTTTTTAAAAGACCGACAAAGATCATGTACACTCATCTTATTCATCTACTACTTCCAGTGTGTGTGCGGTTGAGTTCTGTTGAAAACTATGCCTTGCTCAAACATACATCACCTACTTCGTTGCTCTGATTGGTTGTAGGTCTATCCAATTGATTGCAGAGGCATTTTATTTCCTGGTTCAGTTGAAACACGCCCCATAATCAC